GCGGGTGTCGGCGGGGAGGGTGCGGGTGGCCGAGGGCAGCCCCGCCGTGTGCCGCCCTCCGTACAGGCGTGGGGCTCGGCTCGCTCGCTTTGCTCTTCCAGCGGGGAGCCCCCGCCAAACCTCACTGATCTAATGGTTTCCAGCCCACGTGTAACCATCGCCCAGCTAATGTTTTTTGTCTCTTCAGAATTGTTTCTGTGGCTTTTCTTGCCTTATTTTAGTCGAAACACCTCATCTACTCTCTTTCTTGTGCCTGTGTTTAGTCTTCCTGGTGTTCTTGTGGACAAGTAATCATAGCTCTTTCAGCCTTTGTTTTGCTGAGTTATATTTTGCTCTTCTATATAAAATTTAATTCTATTTTGTTGATCATTCTAGGAGCTCATCTGTCCCCACGTCACTTCTCTCTTAAACCTGGGCTGCCAGAATTGCAGCCAGCTCCTGAGGTCTTGGCTTGCTGCACCGGTGTGCAGGGGAGAGTGGGTGATCCCTGGCACCTCGGCTCGCTTGAAGCCCGTTGCTCCCAAACGGCAGAGTGGGTGGGAAAGGGACTGAAAAGAACATATTTAGTGAAGCAAGGCAGATACCCTTGTTAGAGACATCCAACCTGGGAATGCATGCATAGGTAACACATGCTGCTCTGTTGCTTCCCGCTGTTACAGGCAGTTGGGAAGATCAAAGAAAAGGTACCATGTGGTCTTGTTAAAGTATTTTCCTGTGTGTGGGTACAGGGACATGGCAGCAGCCTGGCCTCCCTCCAGCCCTGGCCCTCATGCCTGCTTGCAGCCCTGTTGTACCGGGGCTTCCGAGGCTGCCAGCATGCAAAACTCATTTTGTCACATGCCTGCCGAAGGTGACCAGAAGAGATGCTCTTTGCAGCCTTACTGTCGTTATGACAAAATACTTCTGAAAGAAATAGTGATGGTGTAATTGAGCATGGGGAAGGGTTTTTGACACTTTCTCAGCTGGCACCGTTCCTTATGACCCATGTACTGATTTTTTTTTTTTTTGAGCCCATGAAAGCAGAGGAACATCAGTGTTTCCAGTGGAAAGGAGATAAGCCTCTGTTCAGAATGATTTTCTTAATAGTCAGTGTAAACTATTGCAGCCGTAATATTATAAAGAAGGCAGTTTGTGTAATCATGAAACTGAGCCAAAAATTATTGCCCTGGCTGCAACTGCATGTTAAGGCAACTCTTTAGGGCAGAATTAGGCTATTGTATTTAAAACATGTGTGGACTAGCTTGTTTATTGTTTATTGACTTATTATTCTGCTTTCACAGTTCAAAATTTCTCATTTCTACTACCAAATTAGAAGTGTGAACACCAGTGGGTAGTATTTTAACTTCAAAATACTTTCAATTTGTGGAGATTGTGAATGTAGTGACTTAAATGTCAGTTGCTCCTGATGTCTTGATAGTACTTAATTAGTATTAATGATGGTAGTGTTATTGGGAGATACTTGCAGAAGAAAAAATAAAGGTTGGGGTAACTGTGACCTAAGAATATAATAGATGAGTTATGACGGTTATTATGTAAGTTATGATGGTTACTGTGTAATGGCTTTGCACTTTAAAGTCTAGTTTTGGGGGTGGAATTTATATCGATTTCCTGCTTGCCCTCCATATTTCATCGGTTTGTTGGAGTCTCCCTGGTTCTGGACTGTTCTTCAACAACACAAAGAGCTGTAAGACTGCATTAGGAAGCTGGGGAAAGGTTCACTCTGTTGAAGGGAGTCCCTACTTACCATACCGCAAACCCAGCACTATACTTCATATGGTTCCTTGGCCTCCACTCAGATTTTGTGGTCATGCTGTCTCTCTGCTTCAGCAATTTTTGCTTATGTTTAGTGTCTACATATCTTTGAAGCTACAGGTAGCAATGTGTAGTTTAGAGCAGTCTTTGGGTTGCTCTAACTCATGCTGAGGAACTGCATTTGTGAATCTGTTCACAATAAGTTACAATTTGTCAGCAGTTTAGGATGGAATTCAGAAATTTAAAATCTGTTTGGATATTGTCAGATTGATGCAGCTCGTATTAAGGCTAAAGCCTTCATAATACTTGTGAAAGACATAAAATATGTGGGATAGAAAGAAAATAGAGTCCTTCCTTTGGAGACCTGAACCCTTCTGTCCCCCCGAATGTTTAGTGTTTAGAGTAGCAATATCTTTTTTTATATATTTCCCCCCTTGTCTAGCCAGAGGGATGGTCATGATTATAAAGCTGCTATATAGTGCTTTTTATTCCTTCACTTGTTTCTTTTAATGTTGTTCCAGATTTATGGATGCTATTTTTCTACCAGCTGTCATCGCAACACCAAATTTTATACTGATCCTGTTGAAGCTGTGAAAGATATACCCAATGGAGCAACTATACTTGTTGGTGGTAATTATTTAAATTCTTTATGGATGCAATGACATGTTCTGTTAATGATATACTTTTCACCGTTTTACAATGTTTCTTTTAATATTAACTAATCTGAGGCTCCATATACTTGTATGGGTATTTTAACCAAGTGACTTCCTACTCTGTTAATGAGGGGCAGACTCTGCCAGTGAGAAAATCCGAGTTTATTTCTTAGGGGAGGGGAAAAAGGCTCAGAAAAATCATTCATTTTTTTCCTTACTAGTGAAGTGTTAGACTTTACTTGTGCCAGTTTGAATGCAGCAAATCAGCTTGGGCTTTTTCATGTTAGCATTGTTATTTCAGATGGTGAAGAAATAAAATTTGGTTTGATTATTTTTATGGTAGCATTCTCTGAATTCTGTATCTGCCTAATCCCTGGGTCTCTGTGACCTTGAAGAAATCGCCTAACCTGTTTCTGGCCGTAGGAAGTGAAGATAATACTTATCTATGTTACACTAAATGGCTACGTGTAGCATTTGCAGAAGAGTCAAGAAGTTGTGTCATACTGACTTTCACTGTGATTTGAACTTTTGAATACCTTAGATAATTTCCGCAATTTCATGGTGTTCAATCTACTGAAAAAAAAGCAATCTCTCGGTTTAGTAGGTTATAAGCGATTTTTAGTATTGAAGAAGTAAGAAGTGTAATGTTGTAAAACATGGTAAACCTCACTGGAAATGTGTAATGAAGCAAAATGCTTGCTAGGAAGAATTACTGTATTTTTGTTGTTGTTATTGTTACAAAAGAAGATCTGAGGCCAAGTAGTTGGGAAGGAAATGGTAGTAATTGTAGTCTTAGAGCCTGGCCTAAGACTTAGTGCCTCAAATGTGGCATGATATTTTGTTTTAGGCCTGCTGCGTTGTTGCACAATAGGTAGGAGCCTGAGGCCACATCAGTCTGAGTGGAGATCTGGGTTACTGTTCTTCCAGTTACACATCTTCCCAAATGCGTTAAGATTCCCAGATTTTTACCACCTAATTATAGGCTAAGTGTGTGGGAGAACTCCTCGCTCCTCCTAATTGACATGGTTATGTGTAGCAAAGAACTGAAGGTTAGCTGGTGTCGCCAGTGAGTGGTTAGGTCACTGAAGTGATCATTCAGAAGTTTTGCAAGAAAAGATTTTACTGAAAATTTAGAAAATGTGATCCTACAGAGTTTGTTGGCAAGGTTATTAAATGAATGGAATACAGGATCGAAAGGGGGTTTTGAGTAGAAAGTGATTTATACAGAGTAGAAGAAAAGTGTAAGGGGATAGGGAGACCCTCCCTTGCTGTGTCACCAGGTTCGGACTGGACCCCCTTGCTTTCTAAACTCCTTCTCAGAGAGGAGCCTGGGTGCGGCTGGATCCAGAACCGGCCTTAGGCCACAACGGTCTGTGCCTGAAGGATATGTTTAGCAGCCATTCAGGGTGTGCTGACAGTTAAAGGAGAAAGAGAATCACAGGGATTTAGAAGCTATTAATCACTGGTTAACTTAGCATTTAGAGAGTGATTAGAAAGAATTTGCTATCACAGTCACAGTACTGGAATATTATACTTTGAATCGATCCAGACACGCACACACATACACACACACCATCATAAAAATTCCCCTGGAGTTCAGTGCAATACTCACTTCAAATCAAACGATTTCCCAAGGGGCGAAGGCTGTGTCTGGAGGAGATCAGCCCGGGTAGTTTGCGAGTTGCTCTGAGAAGCGTCGCGCTCAGAGGGAGTTACTGGGTGCAGCCCGCTGCGGACTGGGAGAGCTCAGGGGGCCTTCCTTGGTACCGCTGTGTGTAGGGTCTCACGATGACTGACTTCAGGCATCAGTAATTTTCCATCCTGGTCGCCATCCAGAGGATGCAGTCCTGACGTTTAGACAGCAGCTATACAGCTCCAGCAGTACCTAGACCGTGCAGCTGTGACACTCACCAGGCGGGTGCGACTCCAGGCATCAGGAGTTGCTGGTGCGGTCAGGGAGTGCCTGGTCGGCCCAGCTGCTGCTCTTGTGCAAAGACAAGGGAGGTGCCAAGCTGTCGCCATTCCCTGCACACCAGCCAGCCATGCCTGTAGTGCGAGTTGGAGCACAGTGTTGGCTGGTTCTGGGATTGCCATGGGGAGGGGCTGCACCACCACAGCTGGGTAGGAGGAGCAGGAGGAATGGTGAGTATGGTTGTTAGGACACACATCAGGATAGGCAAGGTCCTGGAGCCCTTCTCCAAAGGCCATTCGTGTGTGAGCAGGCCTCTGATGGTTAAATGGCCCTTGTCCATACTGGGAAGCATCTAGTGACTCGGAGATTCCGGTACTATGGTGCAACTCTTTCCAGAAGTGTTGGTTTATTTAGTCAGCTAAGATACTTGTTCTAAGCAAAAAAGATTTTTGATTAAACAGTGCATGTTCTCAGACTTCTGATTAATCTTTTCTATCAAATGCATGTTGCATATTTTATTTTCTTTTATTTTACTTAGGTTTTGGGTTGTGTGGGATTCCTGAAAATCTCATTGGGGGTTTGCTGAAGACTGGAGTAAAGGGAATAACAGCAGTCAGTAATAATGCAGGGTAGGTATTCTTATGTCTGTGGTTTAATAAGTACAGACTAAATATTCCGTTCATGTGAAAAGGCTGGTATGTATGAAAAAGTCTTAATTTCATCATAAGAATTTTTGTATTAAACACACAGCTTTGTTTGAAAGTGTTAATTCTGAAACGAGCCCAGAAAATATACTCAGCTTTGTCAGGCATCTGTTGTGACTGTTGTAGACAGTTGCAATGATGTATATTTGTATACACTTAAGTGGATGACTGTAACGGAAATTTCTGACTTAGATGCTTTAGATGTAGTATCAGTGGCTTGTTTTGTGTGTATGTAAAGTTCTAAATAGGGATTTTTTTTTTTACTATATTTTGGTGCATTCTGACCTTTTTGTAATTCTGCTACTTCAGAAAAACCACAACAACAGTGGAGAATGTTTATGATGAAATAATGGAGAGTCTCTTTGATGGGTCTTGGAATTTTTTGTTCGTTTTTTAAATGTTTGCCTGTTAAGAAATTCCTGTGAGATTGACAGTGAAAATAAGTCTTTTACATATAATTTCTCAGCTTCTCATTAGGGCTAATTTTTACACAAGCTGTTCGTTGTAGTGGACTCCACAATACCTAATGATCTTCATATAGAGAAATAACTACAGCCACTTCTGCTGAAGTGCATTGATAAAATAGAAACAAAAGTAAATAAAAATGTTGTTACGCAGAGTATAATGGTTTGTATTTGAAATCAGCCTGGTCAGTACGACTGATACTCTGTTCCTTGCAGTGTTGGATG